ACAACCGCAGATACATATATACAGACACCCAAATAGAGGGAATTAACAGATACACAAGGGGATACAAAGACGGAGGAGCACACCAAATCAAACAGGGTTTAGCAAAATTTAGAAACTATATAAAGCAACACAGACGGTCGGTCAAAACACAATTAACGCATGGTCTGGTTGAATATGTTATTTCAAAGATTCCTAAATTTATAAGTTAAGTGTGAAACCCAAGAGAGTGCTGGAAAACAGACCGCATACACATATATCGACATCCAAGCATCACGGGTTAGCACAGAGACATATGGGGAGAGACACGCACACAGAGTGAAGCAACCTCTCTGTGCCGTTGCCTTAAATGGACGGAGGCAGAGGAGCTGGACCTGAGAGACAATGGGATACAAATTAGCATAAAGACGTTAAAGCAGTGGTTCTTAACTTTGTTGGAGGTACCGAACCCCACCAGTTTCATATGCGCATTCACCGAACCCCTCTTTAGTGAAAAATAAAATGTGATTTTTTTCAAATTCAAGACATAGATATGTTTTTTACTGGTACACAAAATGAGCCGTGCATGAACATTACCTTGTTCAAAGAATAAAACCAACACAATGCATAAACTCACAACAAATTACATACCTGGAAATCAATGTGACTTCTGCTGTTGCCTTTGAGAGATCAGTTCAGATATGCGTGGCTTCACCTTGGCAAGTGCCACTCTCATGTCATTTTCACAGCAAAGTCTGTTCCTTTTCTTCGTTTTTATGTCCAGCATCCTCGAAAAGGATTGCTCACAAAGATATGTTGTAACAAATGGTATAAAAAAATCCAGGGCTTTCTTAGCAATAACTGGATACTTGTTCATTTGTCGACACCAAAACGTTGAGAGCGTTGTTGTTCTGAAGAGTTGCTGTTGAACCTGGCTCTGCTGAATTTCAATGATTTCGTCGAGGAATTCATCATTGACATCTGCTGTTTCAACAGCAAACGTGAACGGCTGTCTCACCCATGCTGGATATGACTCTCTTGTAGGGAAATATCCGTCGAGAGACTTTGCAAGCTCATCTAAGTGCGTGGCAATTGTTTGCTTCAGTTCCGTGGATACAGAAATATCTCCGATTCCAGACACATCTTCGATCTTACTTGCACAGTCGTCCAGAAGCGGGAAGTTTGCGAAGTTATTGTTCTCTGTTCGTCGTTTCCATAACGGTAGCTTTTTTTGAAAAGCCTTCAGGTGTTCTTCCGCTTCCATGATATTGACTCCACCACCCTGCATCTGCTGATTGAGATGATTGAGAGCTGCGAATATATCAGCCATGTACGCTAAAATGAGAATGAACTCAGGATTTTTGAAGCAATCTGCATGGCAGTGTTGGTGCTCTTGCAAAAACAGGGCTAATTCCACACGCATGGCAAAAACACGATTCAGCACCTGTCCCCGGGATAACCACCGAATATTAGAATGGAGCAGAAGTACCTCAAATTCAGAGCCCATTTCTTTACACAGCTCACTGAAGATGCGGTGCCTCAGAGCACTTTTTCGCACATAGTTCACACATTCCACCACAGTTTTTAATACTTCTGCCATTTTTGGAGGTAAGGTTTTTCTTGCCAACGCATGCCTGTGCAGAATACAATGCGTCACAATGATGTGTGGTGCATCGGCCTTTACTAGCGCACCAAAACCAGACTTTCTTCCCAGCATGACTGGAGCTCCGTCCGTACAAACTGCAGAAACCATATCCCATGAAAGATTGTTGTCTCTGAAGAAGTCATCCACAAGCTTCTTCACATCGGCTGCCTTCGTTGTTGTTGTAAGAGGCTTACAAAATAAAAACTCTTCTTTTATCATGTCGTCTTTCACATAGCGTACAAAAACAGCAAGCTGGCTTAGATCAGCAACGTCTGTGGTTTCGTCGAGTTGAAGGCTGAATTTTGCCGGGCTTGAAATCAGATCCGCGACTACTTGAGCCAAGATGTCTTTACTCATGTCTTCTATTCTGTCACTGACGGTGTCATTTGAAAGGGGAATTTGGGATAATTTACTTCGGCCGCTGTTCCGAGTATCAGATTCGCCATCTTTAATGCAGCTGGTTTCACAAGTGTTTCACCAATGGTGTGTGGCTTGCCCTGCTTTGCGATCAGGTAAGCAACTTCGTACGATGCTGTCAGGATCGGTTTGTTAACAGGTACAAATCCAAGAGCAGGCAGAGTGGCCCTTTCATCGAATCTGGCTCTCTTCACCCTGAATTCAGCAAGTGTTGTGTTCTTGTATTCCCCGTCTCCATGCAGCTTCAAGAAGTGTTCCTTTAGTTTTGCCGGTGCAAGACTAGAGTTGCTCAACTTGGCGTTGCAAATCATGCAGATAGGACGCTCACTCCCATCACGTTCCGTGATACATGAGAATCCATGTTGTACATATTCGTCCGACCACTTTCTTCTTTTGCCCGACATAGTTAGTATGGATAAAATATTAAAGAAATCACACGACGTACGACAACAACAGTCACACGTTGACTACTGAGTATGCACTAAATTCCCCGCAGCGCTGATTGGCCAAGCAGTGTAGCATGATCATCTGCAGCCAGTGATGGCCAAGCGGGCCGTGTGTGTCATCACAAATTTACACAATAATTCAAGTGTGTCCGGACCTCCGTGGCGGGGGCTCTGCCGAACCCCTGAGATCGACTCACCGAACCCCTGGGGTTCGATCGAACCCAGGTTAAGAACCACTGCGTTAAAGTTAAACATCAAAGGACGGCGTGGTGGAAGGGTAGTACAGGTTTTTGAGCGCATGGGGTGCTGCAGAGGAAGTCGCAGCACACACTCGGAGACACCAAGGCACACATAGAGGTAAAGACAGTACAGTGACACAAAACCAAGTCAAGACATAAAGGTGGACACACCAGCAGAGGCAACACAAAGAGGGGAGGTATTAAGTCTTGGATGTCGATATATGTGTATGCGGTTCAGCACTCTCTTGGGTTTCACACTTAACTTATAATTTAGCAATCTTTGAAATAACATTCAACCAGACCATGCGTTAATTGTGTTTTCACCGACCGTCTGTGTTGCTTTATATAGTTTCAAAATTTTGCTAAACCCTGTTTGATTTAGTGTGCTTCTCCGTCTTTGTATCCCCTTGTGTATCTGTTAATTCCCTCTATTTGGGTGTCTGTATATATATCTGCGGTTGTGTTTCCTCTCTCTCTTAAATTTAGTTCTTCTGTACCTGATGAAGATTGCTTGTGTTGCAATCGAAACGTCGTATAGTATTAGTATAGTATTATGTTATTTTATTATATCTTATTTCTACGTGACTTCACCGAAAAAACCAAAGAGTATCTCCTGCAGTCACGAAAGCACCAAAATCTAGTTTAAATTCAGCCTAGTTTTCCCATAAATGTCCGCTTCGGCACACCACATCCAGTATAACTTACGCTATGACTGTGGCTACCAGTCAAGTGCTACCGGTCAACCAGTGACCCGGAAAATGTTCAGTGAGTAATTAAACATTGCCATCATCCCTCCTGTGTCGCTAAAAGTAACATAACTTGGGTTTCCCTATGGATGTACTGGCTCTCCTAAGACGAATGTGGAATTTTCACCACTGGCATAAGGCTATAAGCTTAGTCCATGAACTCTGGCCAGATATTTCACTTGTCGGTAGAACCTGAGGTGGCATAACTTGATGTTGCCAACAACAGTGAATTGTAATAACCGCTCGAAATTAATGGTATATCACAATCCACTATTAGCAGCGAAATACACATATAGGTATGACTGCAAGTTTTGATATCTAAGGTGGTATCCGTTTCTGCTCTAGCTCACTTATGGTGAATGTTCCATGCGGGAAGCCACTTTGTTCTCGGTTTGAGTGGAACGTTATGTATGTTGAACTTCTTTCGCACCGTACGTAGCCAACTGTGCTAATCGGAGGTACGGGGGAAGGTCAACACGACACAAAAAGCAGTTCTAAAGAAATTCGTTTTCAATCTAGATGATGATTTAAAAGTGGCTAGCTCCAGTGGCTTCCTAATATCGGAAGGAAGAACGTTCCAGGCGGCCACAGAATTGCACCTGCAAGCGAGTGATGCCGTGACCGTCGGTGTTCGATTGCGAGACAATCCGCTGTGAGGATGACTGGAGTTTCACGCCATGGTTCACGCTCTTTGAAGAGGTCGGCAAGGTATTGTCGAACGTTCATTTGTGGCACGCACTTCGAATGTAATGAGTGCGACTTTTATTCGTCCAGCAACCGGAAGTCACCGCAGCTCAGCGAGCACTGGACGGCCGTGGTCTTGGAGCAGCACCTGAACTGAACCAACACTTCACCTGAACTGAACCAACACTTCACCTGAACTGAACCAACACTTCACCTGAACTAAACCAACACTTCACCTGAACTGAACCAACACTTCACCTGAACTGAACCAACACTTCACCTGAACTGAACCAACACTTCACCTGAACTGAACCAACACTTCACCTGAACTGAACCAACACTTCACCTGAACTGAACCAACACTTCACCTGAACTGAACCAACACTTCTCCTGAACTGAACCAACACTTCACCAAGTCAGGTGGCAGACCGGCGAAGAGGCGTGCAAACGCACCCGGTTTTCCGCCAACCCCTCATTCATGAATTTGGCCAAATATCTCAATGCAGAAAGGTCCTGAGAGACAGAACATGATGTTACAAACCTGTCAACCCCTTATCAGTGCCTTACCTTGAACAGGCCAATTCAAACCTTATTGGGCACCCCGTGCCCCTTATAAATCTCAACGTTCATCCTTAAAAGTCCCATCACAAGGAAGAAACACAAATAGACACTTTTTTTGCCCGTATTGAAAAGGCTGTACGCCGTATGGATCTGAAAACTCAATTTCCCTGTACAATACGGGGTAAACCGTACGGGTTAAATAGCTATGACATTAAGACACTTAATGCACCATGAGTCATTCTACTTATAACTCAAAAGGAAAAAAAAGTAGCACGAGGATTAGAAATGCACGACAACGTATTTATTATTTATCACAACAATCTCATAAATTATTTTGAAAACCCTCAACAAATTTGACAACAAAACTTCCTGAACGGGAAAATATAATACTGTATATCGAAGGCGACGTTTCGGGCAAATCGCCCTCCTTCATAGCACATTCATAATCATGCATCCAAGGGTCCATATGCCAATCGAGACAGATCCCTGCGGCTTACGGTGCGGCTCCACTCATCGAAAAAGACGTTCGAGTAACAATACACCTGTAAAGGTGTACACCTGTAAAGGTGTATTGTAGCTCTGTCGTCCCGATAGGTTGTTCCTTTCACCTGAAGAAGGCCACTTATGTTGTGGCCGAAACGTCGTGAGAATTTGATTGTGTTATTTTATTATTTTATTCTCATTCTACGTGACTTTACCGAAAGACCCAAGGAAGATGAATACATCTGTGTAGTTAGCAATGAGCGTCGATTCTCGTAAAACGCAAGAATGCAGCCACATGAATCCGACATCCGAAACGAATCGATTCTTGCAACGAATCGCCACTCCCGAATCGCGGACGTCACCATCAAATCGCGTGGGCAAAGCTTTAACTCGGCACGTGATTGGGAGAGGCGTTGCGGGCGGGGTGGGGGCGGCGGAAGTGGGTGGAGAGGGGCGTGGCTAAGTTCCGGATTGGCTCCGACCCGGAAGCGACGAGCCTAACCCGGAAGCGGCGAATCTGACCCGGAAGCTGGTAGGGGGGGGGGTGAAGATGTCGCTCTCCACGGGACACGCCGAGCGCTCGACACCGGAGTCATGAGCGTGGCGTTAGCGGCGTCGCGGCGGCGGCGAGGTGAGCGGCGTTGTCGGCGGCCGGGATTGCGGTTCCCCGAGCCTCCGCCGGGGATTGGAGAGGGTTTGGCGCGGGGCCACGACGCAGGCTGCCCGGGGACTCGAGCCGAGGCGGGCTCCGGTCGTGCGCCGCCGCCGCCTCCTCCTCCCCAACCCCAACACCGCCTCACCAACCCACTCGGGTGGTCGTGGCGCCCGGGACGTTAAGCTGTTCGATTATCGCTGTAAACGTAAGCGCGCTGATTATTCATCCATTGTCACGGATGATTATTTGGCGGTCACCGGTAAGGCCTGCCCGGTGGGGGAGTGACGTCACGCTCGCAGGGAAGTGCCTCGAGTTTTAGTGAAGTTGACGCCGGTGAAGTTGAAGAGTTGGGGGTCGAGGAAGCAGTGGGAGAACTCGGGGCAGCCCTGGCCCCGGGTCGCGTAGAACAGCGCAAATATACAATTACATTTCAGAAACTGAAGGGGAATCTTCCTCATGTTGGATGCGACCCGGCCCTGGTGTTTAAGACGTGTCCCCAAGATGTCGCCTAATGCCCCCACGTTTAGAAAACCCTTTCGACTTTTCTCACGCCCTTTTTCTTGTATGGTTTTTATTTTTGTGTTAGGGAATACGTTGGGTCTACTCGTTCTATTGAACCAGCTCGACCACTTTGTCCATTAAGGAAACAACCCGAGCCTCTCAGGTTCGTGATCACCCAGTGTTTATATGCCTCTCTTAGGACCCCCACGATGCGATTTAAGTCTCAACGCCACTTCCCAACGTTTCACTACCGTGGCTTGGACCCCACGGTGGTCGCAGCATTTTGTTGATTTTCATCTTGATTCGACTTTTGAGATGGTAACAAACCCGATTACCATCAGTGATCCTTGCCGAACGAGCATAGGACTCGTGCGCAGGTGGTGTATGTTTGCCGTTTTAAAACGATTGTGGCCGGTTGAAAAATTTGCATTGCGCGATTTCCTATTCGTATCTGTAAATAAAAAAAAAATTGCACGTAAACGTATTTGAGACATCTGCTCCCTGACCCGAGACAGCTCATCACAGATTAACATCTGCGTGAACTAGACGTCCCCTAATTGTCGGTTTCTTATTACCAACGAGCTTGACCGTTTAATGTGTTTAAAATAAATAGCAATTTCGCTTGTGAAGAGGGGCTGCAACCTTCGCTCGTGTAAGCCAGCTGCAATGAAACGTACAAATTAAGACTCCCGAGTGACATTTGAGTGAGGGCCATGATGTGCGTGTGCGCCTGCAGCGAGGGGCACGAAACGGCCTGGCCATCTCCCAGCACAGCGGCGCGGGTTCAAAACATGCTAGCGCTTCTGCGAGGACTGGCGAGATCCGAGGCACAAATGAACGCCTTCCCACAACCCGTGAGAGCTCCGCGCTTCGCATCCTTCCACCAGCCTCGCGGCCTGCACCTGCGCGGCCTGGCTGGCCACTTGATCGCGCCGTTGCCCCCCAGGGCCCTGCTGTCAGGCCGGCAGCATGCCGCGGGTATTGGATGCCGCCTCTTGGGCCTGTCAAACGGGTTCCTGCACCAAGATTCCTTCCATGCGCAGGTAGGAATATGGTGTCATCCACACCTTCATTGTCAGCCAGGTACTATAAATATTGCATGTGCATAAATTATATATTTTATAGCAGCGTCCGGAGTAAAAATAACTACTTGCAAATGCATGCACGCGGTTAAATGCGTAACAATATTTAGAAGGGGCCAATTCATATCCTAGTTACCTGCATTGGAGTTTGCATACCGTTGTGATAAATTTAACATTGAATTGATTGAATAGTAAAATACGACCCCTTGTGTTTTGTGCCAGTTCTGTGTGCCAGTCACTGGTCGATTCAACCGACCTCATCAGTCGCAGGCAGTGGCAGCCAGGAAGGCATGGCAGGTGGGGCGGGAGAAGGTGAGCTATGACACGTTCTTTACCATGAAGAGACTGCTGGAGCGCTCCTGCAGCCCAGAGGAGGTGTTGCGCTGGTTGGCACAGAATCCTGGAAAAGTCGCTCCTAGCCATTACCCAGTGGCCCTGCAGAGGCTCGGCCACATCCTACAACACCAGCAACAGCGAGGTGGAACGAGTGATGGCAGCAACAGCAATTGCCAGACTGTGGAATCGGCCTACAAGCAACTGCAAGACAGCCCAGACTTCAAAGCACTCTGTGAAGCCGTTGCAAAGAACTGTTCTCAGTTTGACAACTTCAGCGTAGTCAACTGTCTCTATGCACTGGCAACTCTTGGTAAGTAATTGCTTTTGTAAAAATATATATTCAGTTGCGAATGACAGTGATGCTTTGATCAGATATGGTGTAAAATAAGAGGCTAAACCACAACCACTTGCAACCATACCATTGTTTTTTGTATTAAAACTGTTCACAACACTGATGCCACATTGCTTTTCTTGTGCCAAAAACAGGGATGCAGGGCAATGCAGATGTTGTGCGCACTTTGGAGCAAGAGGCCCATTCCCGATTGGCCCACTTCAACCAAAAGGATGTTTCCATGCTGTTCAGTAGTGTAATGAAGCTGCATCCTATGAGTCCACACAACCACCCCCTGGTAGAGCCCTGCCTTAACAGTTTGGAGCGCAACATCGAGCGGGAGCGCCATCCTCAAACGCTATTCTTGTTGCTGTCATATTACCGCATGCTCACAACAGCCAGTGAGCCAGAAGCAGGAGAGTCGATGCTGGCAAATGCCCCAGCGGCATTAGAAAATGCTACCTCAAAGGTATCCGAAATGTCAGAGGCGACGATGGGTGGGATCTGTGCACAAATTGGTGCTGCTTCCATGGTGGCAACAGGTCCTTGCACTTCGGCAGAAAAAGGAGCTGGTTTTGCAGTGGAAGATGGGATGGTTTCTGCTAAAATGAACGGAGGTCAAGACGAGCAAGTAGACAAACGCGTGAACCTGGAAAGGAAGGTACTGCGCTTGGTGAAGCACACCTTGAGCCATGTAGGCAACGTGCGCGAGCATGAGCTAGTGCTGCTTGACGAAATGCTGTCCATCTGTGTGGCCCAGGCCTCCAACAAATCCCTCGAGCTCATCTTTAGCTCGCAGCTCTTCTATGAGAACAGACAGGAAAAGTTCATCAACAAGCTTGCAGGTGACCAAGGCAATGTGATTCATGTGCACGTGTTTTGTTAACTAAATAGAACGTTAATTATCGTGATTTGCATACATTAATATAAGAAATGTATCTTGTCTAGTTCCAAAATTCCAGGGTTCACACTTGTCCCTGGTGATTTCCATATGTACAAATCAACAGCTGCGCTGTAAACACTAATTCATATGTGAAGAATTAATTGGCACTAACAGAAGTCTGGACCAGATGGGGTAGTCCATGAATTTAACTACTCGTTTGTTTGCACATATGGCATAATCCTATGTAAAACATTAACTTTTAGTTTGTGTATCTACTGTACGAACAATACTCTCCACAGTTGCTCTTTAATGCAAGACCTATTATGTAAAACATGCCAATGCAAGAATGGCATTAAATACATTTTGGATTTGTATCAAGTCACATTACTCGATTGGTGCAATGTGTTTTATAGAGGAGCTACCCAAGAAGGTGGACTCGATGTCACCTCACACCATGGCCATCATTGCCAAGTACCTGGCCCGGCATCGCCTGAGGGAGCCCAGGCTCCTTGACACCATCGCTCACTTCCTCATCAACAAGGCCGAGATGCTTGACACCAAGGTCACACTCCCACTTGCACATATCAGAAGTAGTTTTTGGAATTGGTAGTCTTAAAGCTGTATGGAGGTAGCCCTGGTTGTGTCTAATATATTCTTCACAAAGCGAGTTGTAAAATGCAGCTTCCATAGACAATGGTCATGATAACAGGACGGACACGTCTCATCAGGAATCTTAGGGTATATGGCAGTTTGAAAATCATCTTAGCCCACTGGTTGAACAAATTTCAGTCACAAATGAAAGAATGATTACGGGTACTATTGGACTAACCACTTGAAAGCATGAGCACGAACTTAAGTCTCAGTTTGCTGCAAAAGGAAATGTATCCCTGTGTGCAGGTGCTGCAGAAACTCGTGTTCCCTTTCAGCCGGATGAACTACAAGCCCCCAAGTGAGCGGAAGCTCGTGGAGAGGCTAGAGGCCGTTCTAGCGCAAAAAGCACTGCACTCGCCACTCGCGACGGTCAACATCATCATGTCTATGGTGCAACTCAACCACTTCCCAGCTGCCAGCCTCGGCAAAGTCTTCTCACCACCCTTCTTGCGCATTATCATGAGTAGGTGCTGCTGCCTTTGCCTGGGACAACCAACTTCCTTTCTCGGAAATATTTAACATGGCTCGACTTTTTAAAATGTCTTGGAATAATGATTGTGCTAAATGGATGTGGTTGTTGCTTGTGACTGTTTAAGACCGAAGTATAATTTTTAGTATGGTTAAAGTTCAATCTTGATTTGAAGCTTTCGTGACTGCAGGAATCCATACTCTTTGGTTCTTTCGGTAAAGTCACGCAGGTAGAAAAAAAAGTTAAATGGTTAAAGTTATTTCAATGCTGAACTTTGTAACCATATTTTTATTTGAATACCCTTAATCACTTGACAAATAAATGCTCACAAACGCTATTGTGGCTTTTGTATTTGTTGCTGCGATGCTCAACTTTATTGGTTAAAAACCTCAAGTTATATTTTAATCAAACCATAGCAGTTTACGTGCTCTATATCCTGAATGAGCATGTTGGTTTCTGGAAAGCTGCATGGATCCAGTGCTGTGACTGGTCTCATGATTGCTGATCAACTTATCAGTAGTAGTTTCTCTGAGGGTTCAGTGATGAGGTCACGTCTCAGCACTTTTGCAAGCTATACTCTAGTTACACTACACCATGCAGTGGGTGTAAAAGCCTGGGCTGTATTGTTAGCATGTTGTAACAAGACTTTTCCCCTTTACTCATAAAACCCCAATTCCAGACAGCCCTTATGGGGTGATAGTGCGGCGATACCTCTCTCTGCTGGATGCAGCCATCGCTCTGGAGTGTCCCAGCTACAGTGGGCCCCGGCTGCCTGACCAGTACAAGGTCACAATGTTTGACCATGCTCTGACAGCAGATGAAGTAAACAGGAAGTACAGGTCAGTGTGGAGAATGCGTGCCACCTTTACGAACACAGCACAAGTATAAACGCAATGTGTGGGCCATTGATTTATTTATTAACCACATTGTGTACATTTCATGCCGTGATGTTTTAAATTGCAGCTACAAGGGATTTGTGGCGGAGGCCCTGCGACAGCTTGTGGGAGCACAGTGCTTCAAGCAGGATGAAGTCCTCCCTCCAGGATACTACACTGGTGAATTATACAAAGCTTACTTTTTTATTATAATTTTAGATTTTACACACTTAAAATGCTCACTTGTTTTTTTTGTCTTTGCAGACTTCTTGCTTTTTATGGACGATCAGAAGAGACTACTGCCAACCGATGGAAACAGTAATCTAGGAATGCATGGCTTAATTCATCCCTTTCTACCGAACACAAGATCAGACGTCAAGCATCAAACACAGATGGATGCACTGACAGCCGACCTACATGCATTTTCTCCCTTTCAGTGTGAAAAAATAACAAAGAGAAACTTCAAGTCGGAGCTACACAATCCCAAATTGCAGTCGCCTCACAACTCTGCCTATTGTCAATCAGCACACACTTTCTTAGGCCAGGGTGGGCATCATGCACACAACCATCCAGTAAACACCTGCAACAGTGCAGCAGCCAGCATAGCTGCAGTCAGGACTTTAGCACCCAACTTTTCTGCTGCGAGCAGTCTCCAACTTCAGCATTCACGTTCCAGCACTGGTGGTCGAGTTCCCATAACAGACAGTCCTCAGGCTTATCTGTCACCTGCCACACAGGGCAGGGGCTCTTACCCCTATAGCCAACAGCACCTCCAGATCAATGATCAGTCTCAAGTGGGCTCCGTGGCATCCATCATGGGAAACTCGGAAAGTTCAAATAGAGATCCTCATGAGGCTGGACAGGGTGTGCCGAGTGATCACTCAGGGGGCAGGGTTCCAGTGGCCTCGGTCGCTGCACAAAGTAGCCATCCATGCGAGATGATGCAGCAGATGGCAGCAGTGACGTCCGACTTTCATCAGGACCATCGCATGCCCCAGGGACATATAGCCACACTATGCTCATCAACAGATGGCCAAGGGAACGTCATCTCATCAGCTTACTTCCACTTCTATCAAGAAGGGATGCTGCAGCACAGTGCAATCCAGGCAGATGAGTCTGATGTGTACAGCCCCCAGGAATCAATCCGCCGGTTCTACGAGTCACCGTTTTACACGGAGCGATTTGTAACGGACACAGAGCCCGACACCAATCTCAGAGCTGGTGGACACCTGCAGCAGACTCTCGGAAACCCAGCACGGGTGGACAATGACTCACCAAGTTCAGCAGTGGAAAACGCAGAAAAGATACATAGGTGAGTAGCCATGACCATCTAATGGAGGCAGGGGTGAGAAAGCCTTTTATCAAATTAACTTGTTAATCCTCATGTACATTAACTGGCTTTCCTGTTTAGCGTAATTTACCATCTGATGTTTTTCCAGGATAGTGATGTCTGTTAACGACAAGTGGCACTACTGTCACAGCTCTGATGTTTTGGTTGGCTCACGGGCCATGCGGGACCGGCATCTCCGCTTGCTGGGTTACCACATTGTCCAGGTACAGTCCATGACTTGGATTACTTTTCTCACATGAACACACATGCTTAAATTTCGCTTTAGCAAGGGTGTCTTAATGTTTGTAAATAGGACTTTATTTCAGACATCGATTTACTGATAATACAATGGAGTGGCCATTTGTGGGCTGGACAATGTAAAACCCTTGGTTTTGAGAAAATGCTTACAAGTACATTTACTTTAATGCTTCGTGCATTGTGAAAGTTTATTGTTTTGCATGTAGTTTAAATATACCATGTTCCACAAGAAATACCTACTGGACATCTAGGGAGAGCTTGAAAGCTCATTGGATTCCTCCAGTGTAAATACATTCTGATATCTGTTCATGCTTAACTTGGATTTATAATGGAGCATTTTCACACTAACCTCTGCTGTGTTCACTTCACCGCTGGGGCTGAACAGCTGCCATACCATGACCTGGAGAAGTTGAATGGGATCGAGGAAGTGAAGAAGTACCTACAACGCAAGCTCAACGAGTTGGAGGGACTGTAGCATGGTTGGTGGTGGGGTTGGGATCTGGGTGCCAGGGTGGAAGGGGGGAGATATTGCATAAAGTGTTATACTGGGTGGGGGGTGAAGAGTAGAGTATATCCCAATTGGGAGTATTGCATGAACAAAAAAGTATCAAATGATTCACTGTTGAATTAACTTATTTTATTACCATTTTGAATGAAAAAAGATTTCTGAATGTGTAAATGTTACATTTGGTAAAATTGGCACCGTCTTGTTTTATTCACAAAGACAATCTTTCCATCTGCTCATGCAGAACCTGGCCAATGCTTTCTTGCAGCCTCAAAGTGTGAAGCACTGCAAATACCTTGTTCGGAGAACATTCAGTTTAGAAGCTGCTTCTTTCTGCATGAAGGAATTTATAATGTTATCAGTAAGTTGCCTTATCACCAGCATATGCATACTAAGTGTTGTGAACAAATATTTGCATTTGTTCCATGGGTCATAACAAAATTAACAATAATTAAAGTTCACTTTGGGATTTGTTTTAACACTAAAAATGTACATTTTACATCTGAGGCCCTAATATATTCTGCAGAAAATTACATGAATTGCTTGAGGCCTGTGGCAACCATGCATAATCTACTGAAGATGTCAATACCATTTTATTGAATACATTTTACAACAGCATCAACAAAATGCAAACTAATGGTGTTAATGCACATGACAAAAATAGCCAACGAAGAGATTTAACCAAAACCATGCCACTGAACTGACATAAGAAAACTTATGAGCTGCTATTTTTGCATTCATGCAATCAGTGGTCATTTTGTAAAGGGTGGAATGCAAGTTCGTTTTAACTCTAATTGAGTTTGACTGAAGGTATCATCGGTTAAATATGCTGCTGTACCTATACGGTCAGTAGCATTTACAAGTTAACATGGTTAAGGGTACGATATTTTTCAAGAACATATGGTATGTTGTATGTGCAGTTGGCATGTGTGATTCCTGTGAGATGTGTAGCCTTTGCACTGCTGCAGTTAAGAAAACTATTTGGTTTACCGTTTTAACAGCGGTTGAGGGGGCTTAGATGGTTAAATTGGGTATTTAACAGGGGACTGACTGTTCTGGGTGTTAATTTAAATAAAAATATAAAGTTCAAGGCTGTTTTTTCACATCTTATGGTACAAGTGTCAAACAGAATATGGGAAAAATGACTTTTGATACTGCAGCAAGCAAAAATGTCTTATTCTTCAAGTTGACATTCTGCAAAGCGGACCAAGATGCTTACTCCCCATGTGAGAATGCATCAGATATTACTGCGACCAACAAATCAGTCTGTGGCATGCTCCTCCTCATCCACTTCATTATTAGTCTGGAAAAAACAAAACTGCACTAAGTACAGGCGTCTTGCTCAACGAGGAAGATATGTTTTGCAAAAAAATGCTCGGCAAGCAAAAACTTGTGAAAACAATTGTTTTCCCATCGAGTCCCATGTTAAAAGGCGGGCGACGTGTCGGCCCCAAAATTTGATACTCACGAACATTTTTTTCACGTGAGAAATACAAATGCCAATTAAAAAATAAAGTAATAAAACATTAAACTTAACACCACAAATTAATGTGTGTAGAACTTGTTCGCAACGTACATAAGCCAACCGTGCAAATCAGGGGCAAGATCTGCCATATAGCCTTAAGACTAATGGGGCAAGTGCGGTACACGAGGCGTGGGTGGTCAGTACCATGTCCGGCCGCCTTTGTCTCCCTAAAAGCGATGTTTACACACCGCACCAGGTACTAATTTAAGGTTGAGTCGACCTAACGGGCTAACTGTTACACCACCTCTCCCTCCACCACGAGGCCCCCCTTCTCCCACAAGACCGAAGACGCACACTAAGCAAGCTGGTAAACAAATAGCTGCGGGCCACTGCACCCCCTGCCACCATGGGATACATATTTATCAATCGGTCTCTGCTCGCTCAGCTTACAATCGACTCGTTTTGCATAATGGCTCTACATTCGAATTGCTTGTTATAGCGAATTCTCAGAATGCTCGATAAGAGATGGCTGTAAAGGAAAGAACAGAATGAAATCAATATCGCTGCTGCCTTCTTACCTTCTTCGTACACTTTTTTTTCTTGCTGGAGTGCACAAATTTTCTTTTTCTTCTCTGAAAGACAATCATATACCATATTCCTGGTTCTTTCAGTAAAGTCACGTTTTATTGATTCCCTTCTACGTGACTTTACCGAAAGAACCAAGAATGAATCCCTGCAGTCACAAAAGCTTTAAATCAAAATCATATACCACTTAATATTTAATAACCACATCACATGTTGCCAATACTGTCTTTAAAAATATATTGCCCTTCTGAACACTTCCAAAGCATGTCATGTTTGAAAAACGTCACGGTATTAAAGATTGTTAAAGCGTCTTAGAAACTTGCACATTTATACAGCAGTTAGCAATGTACACATTCATTAATAACGTGTTAAACTCAGTCAATGTTGCAGAACACTCCCTCACCATCTCCCACATCGTTTCAAGTGCAACGCGTTCTTTGTGGGGCAATATCTGAAAACAAAAACCACAAAACAATTCCTGCAATCATAACTTTTAAACAAAACTTTTATGAGACAATAATTTACTGGGAAATGCAAGGTTAAGTAAATCGGTGTCTTAAGAATTTTTTTTTTTTTAAATGAGTGAAACTACAACTGCATACGACTTCCAAGGATATGGAAAAAGCAATCGCTTTAAAAGAAAAAACCATTCTGACCTGCAGGGCAAGCCGTTCCATCGCCTGTTGGTCGATTTTGGCAGTGTGTGCAAATTTGATGTAATCTGCTTTTTGCTCTACGTTGCTCCACAGGTGCGTCAATACATTCAATTTTTTATTTCCCAAAAACTCCGGCACAGTGTCTGCAGACATCTTACTATACACGGAGAAGCTTGAGCTGTTTTAAAAGCAGAGAATTTGCAATGTAAGATGTATCTTGTAGAACATTCAGCTTTGTATAAGAGCATGCACTTTATTGGTCCATGAGTTTTTAATATCACTGATCCATTATCAGGCAAGCAGCAAATTAGACATTTCTGAAATGAAAAGACCGTTTTGTTTTCTACATAATTTCCATATCTGAGAATGAACCTGGCTTTATTATGAAATTCACAGCCAAATATACTTTGTTTAAATCTGTGAACCACAATACAAATCATGAACTTGGGCAAACATGTGAATTTTGTACTTACGGTGCACGTTTTCTTTGCATTGCGAGCTGTCGTAGCGAGGCATTCTTTTCCAGCTCATTCTGTCAAAACAACACTTAATATTTAAATTCAGCAGGAAAACAGTTATGTACATGCCTATCATTGTTTCGCAGTCAAGTCCACATTATTTACAAATGTTGCTTTAACAATAGACAAAGCCAATTCAAGCTTTGACACCAAGTGCATGAAATTCCGTTAAGAGTTTACAACTGAACACAATGTTGGGGGGGGGGGGGGAAATCTCCACACTTATTTATCTAGGAAAGCCACGGCAAGTCGTCGGACTTATTTTTACGACGATGCTGCATTTGATGAGTGTTATACAAGCGAGAGGAAACCGGAGCACCTGGAAAAAACACTTATCCCCAGCTAAACAGATGGCAATTCGTCCATTTGCTGTACTGCCCTCTCCTGACGAGCCACGGTTATGATACCTCGACAACCATGGGAAAGGGTTTTTTCACAACGTGCAGTTTAATCAATTGCTCGCCTCCAGTGCTGGATTGCAGATGAGTGCCACCACCGATAACTTTACCTTAAGAATGTACTTTTGGAGGTGGGGCTACAATATTCACAACTGGATTACAAAACAAGGCGAGTGTATAATTGTATAGATTTACTTGGGCTGAACAATGGGTTATTTGCACAAGTTACCTCATATATCCGTTTCTTCTCCTTTGCTTGTGCTTTGTAAACACGTTTACTGCTGTTTGAAAGCGTCTGCCACTTTTCCTCCGCAATGCTCCAAGCTTTGGCCTGGTTTGCCTGTGAGCAATATAAATCCCACAAGAGATCACCAACTTACTGTACGTATAATTGCGATACAATTTGTATTTACATAGCATAAATGCAACTACATATCAGAAAGCGTAACAAACAGTAGGACATGGGCAATCCTGGGGGAAAGGACAGTATAATTTTAGAGAAAGAGGACAATCTGAATCCCGACGTAAATGGAGGCAGTTGGCAGCATGATGAAACTGAAGGGAGTTGTTGACGATGGGGGTAAGCAGAGGCTAAAGAGCAACCTTCCCACTGAGTTAAGGTTGACTGGAGGCTTCAGACCTTGGTTGCTCAAACAGAGTACATGGGGAGGGGGGGTAGAGATGAGCGAACAGATGTAGGCATGAGCAAATCCTTGGAGGATATTAATGGCAGTGATTTTTAAGTTGATCTGGACCCAATGAGGTCGATATGGAACATGTTATGCGCACCTTCGAGTACTCTGGCTTGGATCAAGTCCTACTGTCATTTTAACAATATCCCCAGCTTCACTAGAAAGGTAAGTTACATTTTGATTTAAAGCTTTCGTGACTGCAAGGATTCATATTCTTGGTTCTTTCGGTAAAGTCACGTAGAAGGGAAACAATACAATAATAAAAATATAAAACAAAATTCTCACGACGTTTCGACTGCAACAGCAAGAAAATTTTCTTGCTGTGGTTTTCACACCTGATGATGATTGCTTGTGTTGCAGTCGAAACGTCGTGAGAATTTTATTGTTTTATATTTTTATTGTTTCCCTTCTACGTGACTTTACCGAAAGAACCAAGAATACTAGAAAGGTAGTTTTTTCAGCAGCTCACCCGATTCTTGCGCAATAGCAAAGGCAGCTTTTTCTGGATGTACAGCTCCTTTGCAGAAGGGGGTGCCTCTGGCACTGCTTCCCAAAATTGATTTGTATCAATCTTGTAATCAGGGTAGTATTTTCTCTAAAAAGCCAAAAGATGTGACAACTTAAAAAAACACATTCCATAATTTCAGAGGCGAGTAATGTTTTTACAAGCATATATACTGATAGGGAATAAACAGCTAGTCGAATCCTTCCAACAAATAATATGTTTAAGCTCAACGCCTTTGTTTAAGTGTGTTTCAGCTCACAGCGTTGGTGTCAAATATCAAAACCATCTCTACATTGATAAGTCATGGTAGTACCTGTATGCAACCAAGTAACCAAGATGCAGCATGGACTCACCTTAACTTCCAATGGCATCTGTTTCCAGGTTTTTAAAATAATGCGTACTATATCCTGTTTCGGGAGATCTGAATCGAGACCTTTCTCCTTCATGGCTTGGAACATTTTGTTTATAAACGGTATATGGACATTACTTGTTTTGCCTGAAGCCTGCAAAGAGGAAAACAAAGTATTATTGGGTTATATTACTGCTGGAGTCATCCCAATTATATCGGAGGTGGTACAGGCAAAATTGCAGGAGATATGTTGCAAAGTCTAAATACAGACCTCAACTTTGTTTTCCACACATGTGCTTTGCTGAATCTTCAAAGCTTTATTTACCCAGCACAATTTTTTATCATTTGGCAATTCTGTCCACTTCTCTGAAAGGGTCTTTTTTAACACATTTTCAGACATCTGGAAATGCCAAGTGGTAAACGTCACCTTAAACATCTATTGTTATAAAAAGGCATATAAATAATCCATAAAATGTTCGTGATAGACTGCATAGTTAAATTGATTAATATAGATCAAATTACTGAAGTCTACATTACTTTCAAAACATGCTTAACTTAAAAACGCATTTAAATGCAATTTAAAAACAGACATTTAGCATAGCTAGCACACTTGCCCACCAACTAGTATCCAGCGTGATCGATCCACCGTTGGATGAAGGCCTCCAATCCATCACAACCCCTCATGGTGTATCATTACCAAAATTCACAATATGCTATGAAGCAGCTAGATAACATTAGGTAAAGGATTTCACAAATATAGGCAACAGTGCTGCTCAGAAACATCATAAATCGGAAAAGTGAATAAATGAGAAAACAGGAGAGGGTAGCGAGCGGGGCCAAGAGGGACACGTCACAAGGCCCAGAACCTTCTATTAGGATCTACAAGGGGGCATGGCCTAGGGCGGAGCCAGGCCACTCTCAGGGGCATAAAAGGGAAGTCCCGAGCGCCGATCCGGGCTGTCTTCTGGAATCAACCCCCCGTGCTACGTCTCCTCGATCTCCGGTCGTCACATTCGGCATCGTGGGTCAGGCAGTATGGTACTGACCTGGCCCGGTTATGTAGTTGCCCGTTGTGGTTAAGCCGTTAGTGGAAGTTGTTACCACCTATGTCGTTTTCCCGTACGTTTATATAGTTACCCTGTCGGGGTGTTGTAATAAATGTGTTGCCTCCAAGTTCTAGTGTGTGTCTCCGTGGATGCCACTAAAAATGTATAACTTGTACAACAGCATCACCAGGCCAAAACTCACAGATGGGTTCTTCACCAGAAGAGTAACCTTGGATTTCTCACACCACAGATTAAATGCAGTCGTGGGTGATGATTGAGCCCCTCCAATGTCACCAATCAAATCCAAGATCCTGGTGTTCAGGTGATATTTAAAAAAAGGCATTTGTTACCCAGGTTAAGGTTTGAAATACCACGTGAAATCAACATTGGATAGATATTGAAGCTACCAATTAATTTCAATGCTATGTTTACATAGAACTCATGAGATAAACAAGCGAGCAAGTTGTCATTTATTTTAAAGCAAAATACTTACTCAGTATTTTCCTTTAGAGCCTTTGCACTCTTTTTACGAGCTTTACATTGCTGAGAAACCAGACAAGGACAAGATAAGTTATGTAATTAAGTGCATTTCAACATTGTACGTTTTTTGGAATTAGAAATGTTTATTACCTCCCAGGAAATTTCTATTAAAATAATATAGCATTCAACTTTGTATGCTACTCGTGTACACACATTTTGTTGCAACAAAATAATAATTGTGGAGTATTACACCAATATAGGATATCTGCAGTCAAAACAATGTCGCATCAGCTCATGGCAAAAATCACCTGGAGCAAATCGAATAACAATGGAACCAGAAAAAAATGCCAAACATCCCCCCCCCTCCCGCCAACTGAAAGCGCGTGGCCGAAAGTATGTATGACCTTCTTGCGCACCGTGCACAGCCAACCACGCTCGTTGGAGGTGCGGGTGAAGGTTCCCGGAGCATCCCCAGCAGTGCAGTCAGAACTGCGCGCAGAGGGGTGGGTGAGTGGATGGGTGGAGCTTGAAACAAAGTGTCACTGACCTTAATCTCTCCATCGCACTTCACCAGACGTTCAGCGTCCCTGACGATCTCACGCAAGGTACGATGCAAAGAAATCTGTGAAAACAATTCTCCAAAAGTTGCAAGGATATTTTCTTTAAAATATACCATCAAAGGTGAGCATATAAAAAGGCGCAACTTACCTTTCCACATATTTCTCCCCATTTTTCTTTACACTGTGCAGCATTGTATGGGCCAAACTTGATAATTTCCCAGTCTAGTCTGGACACAGACGTCTGATACTTTAATTTTTCCACATCAGCGGGTAAGCAGGCTGCCATCCGATCTAGTAAGAGATCTGTATCCTGTTGCGACCATACATCTGTAAAAGTGCAATGATAAATGTCAATCCAGCCAACTCCATAATAGCCATCGGTGTTTTTGACTAACTTAAACAGCCTTCTGGACTGCTGTTCTAAAGGCTGCTGTTCTATGTAGAAATTCTTTCTCACCGTACATTGCTAACCGTGGTAATCGGAGGTGTGGGGGAAGGACAATAATCTAAACACAAAAAGCAGTTCTAAAAATAAGTTTAGTTAATGCAGCCGTGTATTTCCTTTGGTTATGACGGTCAGTGTATCTAAGATGGTTAATATTTTCCCCAATTATAATTATGCTTTTGTTTCACCAATACCGTTTTAGTAAAACTTTTTTATGGAAAACAATGTAACTGAACTGTGGTTAAGTATCCCTTTGTTTGGATAACTTTTATGTGTATTTTGGTATATTCATGACAATGTTATTGCAGCGGTTCCAAATTCGTGAATATCCTTTTAAAATTCGTAAATATATTAATGCGGCCAATGATAGAATACCGCACGCTGCAATATTGGGATTTAAAAGTGTTGAGCAGCATGGACGTTGCATGTGCATTCTATACTGTCCATTTGAATTATGCCCAGGGTTTCCACAATACGGGTGATGGGAGATTAATGATGGGAGTGCGTGGCAGCCCAAGGAGCAACCTCGCCCGAGGGCGTTAATCGCACAGATTGGAGGGATGAAATTGATCGTGCACCACCACGTGTGCTAGATGGATTGTTACAAAACCCAGCACCGCGCGGCCGAAAAAACCTTCATCCAGCAATGGGGATTGGATCTTTCCCGGGGTTGAGGGCAAAAAAGGCTTACCCTCTGGCTTGCCTTTTTTGGACATGATAATCACCGACTGGTATTCCTCGATCTCTAGTAACACAACATATCAAAAGAGTAAAAACACACAAGGGGCCTTTAGACGCGAGGCAAGAAAATCAATCTTGTCTAATGCAGTCCCCCAAACTGTAAAACCCCCTTCCACCTTAAAATCAAAATTCCTAAACCTTACCCACAAGAACTGGAACATCTCGGCTGGGAAAAAAAACGAAATGTTTCATAAGAACCAAACTTGTGGTTCTCCGTAGTCAGGATTATGATGCCGGAGTTATTACTCTGGAGTGGGCGCGTGTAACGGAACGATGGGTGGAGAGCCGAGCCGGCCACGATATCATCTTGTTATTCCTTTAAGGCTACAGCGTTAACGACGAATGTCTGCGTTCTGTTCAGTCACGAGTGTCCATGCGACTGCACGACTTTTTTGTTCTATGCTGTATCACCAAACAAATCGCTAACAAAAAATATCACGAATGAACGACTGACGGGAGCTGTATGAACAACACAGCGTGTGGTTTGAACCCAACATCCACGCTGTGAACAAATAGCACCGCACGCATTCATCATTGACACGCTCGCGCCTCAGTCCATCATCACTCCGGGGGGGTCGATAAAGAGTACCATTTTGCGAGGGACAGACAGCAATGGTGCTGCTACGGACAGAAGACTCTCTCTCCGCCGTAAGAATGTTGTGTACATCCCACCAATGGGTTTGGCGGTTGTACACAGGACTACGGGAGGCAGCCTCGATGTCCATATCAGCGAGAAATAACGTTCCACTTATTTTTGTTGTTGTTTACAATTGCAAGTGAACGTTCGCTTAGATGCCAACACTTTACGTGCCCCTGCCCGTCCGTTCCCAGTGCAGCAGGGATCAGAACACGTGAAGAGAAAACCCGCCAGGGCTTTTGTCCGAGCAAGCCCACACGATACCCGCTAGGCCGCAAACGCAAAGCGTACCAGTCACTCGATACAGTTACACAACTTTGCTGCAGAACAATGATACAATGATCGTTTTAAGGACACGTACAGAGAGACAACATCATACTTATTCTCCATGCATCTTATACCGTCCGAATTAATATCCCGTTTACGGCGCTGCTGCGAAGTTCATACCACAAACGCGGCCGCTCGCCACGCCACAAGGCAACACGCCTCGGCAGCGGGGCGGGGCTCTGAGCACGTGACGAAGTCCCCCAACCACCAACTTCCCACCCACCCCCACCCCTCCGTCCCCTCCATCCACGCCCAATCCCCCCCATCCCCAATCCCCCCCATCCCCAATCCCCCCCATCCCCAATCCCCCCCATCCCCAATCCCCCCCATCCCCAATCCCCCAACCCCCCCCCCCATCCACTTACAATCCCCCCCCCATCCACCCACAATCCCCGCCCCATCCACCCCCAACACCCCCCCCCATCCACCTACAATCCCCCAAACCCCAACCCCCCCATCCACCCCCACTCCCCCAACCCCCCCCATCCACCTACAATCCCCCCAAACCCCAACCCCCCCATCCACCCCCAATCCCCCAACCCCCCTCCCCATCCACCCCCAACCCCCCCCCCCATCCACCTACAATCCCCCAAACACCCCCCCCATCTACCCACACCCCCCCCCCATCCACCCCCAACCCCCCTCCCCCATCCACCTACAATCCCCCAAACCCCAACCCCCCCATCCACCCCCAATCCCCCAACCCCCCCCATCCACCTACAATCCCCCAAACCCCAACCCCCCCATCCACCCCCAATCCCCCAACCCCCCTCCCCATCAACCCCCCCCCCCCCATCCACCTACAATCCCCCAAACACCCCCCCCATCCACCCACACCCCCCCCCCATCCACCCCCAACCCCCCTCCCCCATCCACCTACAATCCCCCAAACCCCAACCCCCCCATCCACCCCCAATCCCCCAACCCCCCCCATCCACCTACAATCCCCCAAACCCCAACCCCCCCATCCACCCCCAATCCCCCAACCCCCCTCCCCATCCACCCCCAACCCCCCCCCCATCCACCTACAATCCCCCAAACACCCCCCCCATCCACCCACACCCCCCCCCCATCCACCCCCAACCCCCCTCCCCCATCCACCTACAATCCCCCAAACCCCAACCCCCCCATCCACCCCCAATCCCCCATCCCCCCAAACCCCCTCATCCCCCATCCTGCACATGAGCTGATCGCATCGCTCCATCCCAATGGTGCTCGCCTTCTCAGGCACGTTCCCAAACCAGTCTTTTTCATCGGCCATCACCCCTCCGAGAGATGTGTGTCCTTCCTCAAGGCCACTTTACTTCCCTTAACATTCAATATTAGACATCCAGCGTGTGTTTATTCTCTGATCCGTTGTCCCTCTACTTCTCAGTTTATCTTCTCATTGTGCACCTCTCCGGGCCTGTAGCGTCGAGTGCAATGGAGAAAGCTGAGCCCCCTGCTGAAAGTTCAAAGTCTTAGTCAAAAACAAAAAAAAACTTGGCATATTTAAGACTGATGGTGTTTTCCCCATAGCTAGAAAATTATGCATGGTAGACCGAGGTCATATTGTTATACCAGGTAGTCGTCAAAATGTTTAAAGATTCAGTGACAATGTTGTACCTCCGAGTTATTTTTTTGGGACGTGCACGTCGCTGGTGGACCAGCATTTATTGCCCATCCCCAGTCGCCTGCGGTAGTGGTGCTGCTGGGCCGTCTCCGAGAACCGCTTGCAGCCTCTGTGGTGCAGATACATGTCCCCAACATTGTTGTTCGTTAACGAGTTCCAGGATTTTTTTTGTCTTATGTTTCGGAGGTACTGGTAAAGAGCCTCTTTAAAGTCCGGCTACACTTGTGTCATGACTTTACACACTTGGATTCTTTGGGTCTTTCGGTAAAGTCACGTAGATAGGTTCGAAGAAAATAACAAAAACATCTACTTGACTTTACCGAAAGACCCAAAGAATATGAATTCCTGCAGTCACGAAAGCTTTAAGTCAAGATTTGACACAGTTCTCTTGAGATGGCATTTTATTGAAGACACGTTCACCTGACATCAGGCGGAGACCCCAACTGCAACAGCCCCGAGTCTCCCGCGCATCTCCCTTATATACAGACCGAGGCCACGCCCCCCTTATCGATCATTCTCGATCACTCTGGACGCTCGCTCCACCGGCAGACTCCACCGTCCTCTTCCGTCACCTGACCACGCACCCCTTCTCGATCATTCCCGTAGCCACCAGCCCCTTCGCACTCACAACTGACTCCCCTGTCATTACCTCCCGTGGCCACTAGTGCATTCACACTGTAGGCCGACTCCCCTGTCATTACCTCCCGTGGCCACTAGTCCGCTCACAGCGCATGTAGGCTCTGTCATTACATACTCTTTGGTTCTATTCGGTAAAGTCACGTGGGTAAAAAATAAAATAACAAAAATCACGACGTTTTGGCCACAACACAAGTGGCCTTCATCAGGTGAAGGGACCGTGCTGTCATGAGGACAGCGTTGGAGTGAAAACAGCCAAGCCCAGGTCGCGTCCTTTAAGCTGTGTGGTAGGAAGCAAAACGCTTTGACAAAGGAATTAGCATAGAAATGAGCATGATGTACGTAGGAGGTGCATGGGCCATGATGGACCAGGAGCGGGTGAGGACCATGACGGAGCAGCAGCGGGGGCGGGGGGAGTAGAGTGAGTGAGTGGCGTGAGTGAGTGGAATGAGTGAGTGGAGTGAGTGAGTGGAGTGAGTGAGTGAGTGGAGTGAGTGAGTGAGTGGAGTGAGTGGAGTGAGTGAGTGGAGTGAGTGGAGTGAGTGAGTGGCGTGAGTGAGTGGAGTGAGTGGAGTGAGTGGAGTGAGTGGAGTGAGTGAGTGGAGTGAGTGGGTGGAGTGAGTGAGTGGAGTGAGTGAGTGGAGTGAGTGGAGTGAGGGGAGTGAGTGAGTGGAGAGAAATAAGCAGCTGTGAAAGTTTGGGATGCCACTACTTGAAAAAAATTTACTGTACCATTGAAAATTAGTTTAATGTTTGGTTTGATTTAGAACATCTTTCCAATGATTGCTTAATTTGAAACCATCCTCTCGGTTGAAATTGTGTCTGTGTTTGTAAATCTGAATTGCCTCGTGGACAAATCTCTGATAAAAACCTGTGGGTTTACAGAGAACCTTGGTATCAGAGAAAACTATATCGTGATCACCCACAGCGTTGTAAGTGGTCAGCCACAGCAGAAAAATTTGTTCTGCCGTGTTTCAAATCTGATTTGTGCTCGCGAATTCGGTCAGAGACATGTTGCTTCGTCTCCCCGATATAGCAATCACCACAAGTGCAGCTCAATTTGTAAACCCCGGGGTACTGTAAGTCAGGAATGACATCCTTCACGGATGGGATCAGGTCACGGATTTTGTGTACTGTATTGAACCGGACCAGGGTCTTGTGTTTGTTTAGAAATTTGGAGATATTTTTAGTAACGCCTGCTATATATGGTAGTGTGATGGTTTTGACCGGAGTATCAAGTGGTTGTTTCTGTATGGAGGGAGAAACAGCTTGGCCTATGGTACGGTCAGAGTATCCGTTTCTCTTGAGGTCCAGGTGTACATGTTTTAATTCACTGGTCAGGTGGTGTTGTTCCGAAATGCATTGTGCCCTGTGGTATAACGTTTTGATGAGAAAATTATTTTGAGCTGGGTGGTGGTGGGAGTCAGGTTTCAAGTAGGAATCTGTGTGGGTGGGTTTCCTGTAGACAGAATGCCCCAGTGAGCCATCAGGTCTCCTCTCTGTTCTGTTTGAGAGCTGAATAAAGGTGTCAGTTTTTTGTGCCAGTTAAAAGGGTAAAACCTATTACTATATCCTGTTACTGGCAAAGGAGGTCTCAATGTAAATGCTCACCCCGAGCCCTCAATACTCTGATAGTGCGCTGTTTTTGAGTTGTACGCCTTTTGGCGTCTTCTGGTCCAATACCAGTGGAGACTAGGTTCTAAGAAAAGCCGTCTCGGGTGTGGACCAATCAAATTCAAGGACAGTGCATATTATTATCAGAGTTGTCTCGTTTGTTTGCATTTTGACTGCTTGTGTTGTGGTTATTGCAAACATGATGCCTTGAATAAAGGTGTCTGTTTTTGTGCCAGTTAAAAGGGTAAAACCTATTACTATATCCTGAAGACTTGTCCGTAAAGCAAAATTCCGAATATCGAACGCTGTTCCCCATCGACTGACATTATATATTTGGAAGATGCGTTTTTACGCAAAGAAATTAGGCTTCAAGATATAGTCACACTTCAGAATGTAGCAAACATTTTTTCAGCACGTTGAATGTAAAATCAAGTATTATAAAATACGAGTAACAACTCAACGTAAATAGCGGAAAAACAATACTATACAGGACTTACACCCAAGGTCTCTTTTTGCGATTCTGCTATCACTTCCACTTCCTGGCCCCCATAAACGACATCTTAACTCGCTTGAACTGAAGAACACTGAAACAATTGTGAAATCGTGCACAGGACGCCGTGCTCCCCAACCCGAGCTTGGGCAGCACGGTGAGCTCAGGTAATCAGCACAGGATGAAAAGCGTGCCACACAAACCACGTGGAGCAGCGTATGTATGTATGTCTGCTGAACTTCTTTCGCTTTCGTACATAGCCAATCGTGCGAATCGTTGGTGCGAGGAAAGACAACAAACTAAACACAAAAATCCGTTTTAAAGAAATGAGTTTTCAATCTCGATTTGAAATTGCATAACTCGAGTGGCTTCCTCAATATTGGAACAGCTTTCCAGACGGCCGCTGAAGCATGAAATGCACGCTCAAACAACACTGTCCATTGTTCAATCTCCGCCACCCCTCCAAACAAACACAATTTAGAGATAAAAAAATATCGTAAATGCAAATTTAACGCAACGTATATGGAATTCGTCCCATAAATGATACATTACATTATAGTAAAATTCCGTATATTTAGATGCTGTATGAGAGACGACTGTATTTCCAAGTTCTACTTTAATCTCCATATATATAAAAGGGAAATTTGTGATTATGTGTCTGTTCAAAATGTTTAGCATACTTCCCGACATGCAACAAACTTGAAATTTGCCATGTGGGTACTTTCCAGACTGTACACCATGCAAAAATAAAAAAAAAATACTTTTGTATTTTTGGGGGGTAGCTCAATAATGGATATATTTTTTGCACGGCAAGTGAGCTGTGACGTCACATCTGTCATGTGACCCGCGCATGTGGAAGCGTCACGCAGCGTGCCTGCTGATGTCACCCCCCCAACCCTCCACGGGTAAAGTGAAATACAAATGTGTTGCAGGTCTAAGGCGTTCTTCACGCAGCATTGCTTTATTATTTCAGTCGTTTACTGCCGCACGCACCCTCAAAGTTGTGTGTCTGCAGCAAGCGCGCGTGTGGGGGGGGAGCGGTAGTGTAGTGGTTAGCGTGCTGTCTGTGTGTCTGTGTGTGTGTGTGGGGAGCGGTAGTGTAGTGGTTAGCACGCTGTCTGTGTGGAGCGGTAGTGTAGTGGTTAGCACGCTGTGTGTGGGGGGGGGGGAGCGCTAGTGTAGTGGTTAGCACGCTGTGTGTTTGTGTGTGTGGGGGGAGCGGTAGTGCAGTGGTTAGCACGCTGTCTGTGAGTGTGTCTGTGTGTGTGTGGGGGGAGCGGTAGTGTAGTGGTTAGCGTGCTGTCTGTGTGTGTGTGTCTGTGTGGGGGGAGCGGTAGTGTAGTGGTTAGCGTGTTGTCTGTGTATTTGTGTCTGTGTGTGTGGGGGGAGCGGTAGTGTAGTGGTTAGCGCTACGCTGCGCTACGAACCCGGCGACCCGAGTTTCATTCCCGCTCACGGCCACCAACGGTGACGATTATTTGAACCGGTCCTGAGCCTCCCCTAGGTCGACTCAGCCTCAAACGAGTAACTGGTGTGGTGTGTAAACATCGCCACTGGGGAGACAAAGGCGGCCGGGCGTGGTGAATCCAAGTCCCGGTTGAAGCCGGGTAGTAAAACTCGTTCGTTTATAAAACATGATTTATTGCCATGCTGTTGCAGATACATCATTTTCTAAATTAGTTAATTGAAAACAACTAGCCATTGTATTAAACTTTGGTGAAACGTGTTCTTTTAGTCTGCACTCAAAATCTGTGTACGCAGTATTTTTTTTCCTTAAGATATATTCTGTAATCCTGCTCAGCTCTCTCTGGAAAATCACAACCCATCTGCGGAGTTAAGTTGGATAGTCATGACTCTCTTGCATCATGCAGCATTTCTGCCATTTTCCAGAAGTCTCGTCGATCAAGGCAGACGCCTATTAACAAAGGACAAAAACATCGTTATTTTGTTCCCACATCCTTATTTTCAAATAAAGCAGCAGATACTATGGACTCACAGGGAGTGTTTTGAACTGCACTTTACATTCATAGATCATCAATGACTTCCTCCACGATTTCATCACCATCCTGCATTTTATTATCACAGCCAACTTTAAAATCTATTTCTTCTTTGTTTAATAATGTATTTCTGCCACGACCACATTTTACCGTGTCATGCTCTTGGTGGGGATTCTCCGAGTATGTCATTTGCATCTTCATTAGTGCTGCAATGAATGCCACTTTGATGTTTAAGGCAAACACATTCACAGACTTTACCATCACGACTTTCAAGCTCACTTTTCTGGTCGTGCATCTCCATATTGTTCACCGATTTTCCCACAATGTCCTTATGGGGCTCTTTAAGGACTGTACTCAGTTCCGGGTTAAGTACAACGTTGGGATCTCTGATACCCAGTGCGGCACAGAACACAGTTGTCTGAGGATTCACAGCGTGCTTGGGATCCTGTGCTCTGGGTTTGTGAGGACCATAGTCTGGAACAGTCTTCACGAAATTCTGTGGCACACGAAGATCTCGACCAAGGGAACCGAGGGCAGTGGCGATGGCTTCCTTTGTCAAAGTATAATTACGTCTGTTGGAGAAAACCAATTAAATTAATAGGATTAGCAGACAGTGAAAATCACATGGTAATATAAACCACTTAAGATAAGAACAATTAAGTGTTTGGCAGTGTACTAAAGTGGCAATAAGTTACGGTGACATTAATGAAGAGACACCTCAGATGATGCTCTGTCTTGAGTGAAGCATGTATCTCAGGAGACACGCTGGTGAAGTGGTCCATGGTCTTCAGTATTGCGAGCCACTCGGAATCATACTCCAGCTGCAGAGGAACCTCTGGGTCGTGTAACATCTCGACAACCTGATTTGCAGACAACAATCCGAGAGAACTTTCTCATGAAAAGCGATTGGCTTGTGACTTTATATTTTTTTGTTTGCAAAGTTGTGAATGCCTCATGCATGGCGTGTATTTTGGTTACAGCATGCTCTGCCAACCTGCAGGAAATCTCTCTGAGGTAGGCACTTGTCCAAGGCCAGGAATTTTGTAACTTTGGGTTCGGCATCACCAAACCTCTGCTACACAAGCACAGGCATAAGAGGGGCATTTGAGCAGTAGAATAATTCAACAGGTGGCAACAGCAATTTTAAGTTGGGAAGCTTGCACATTGAGTCCCAGTAGTCGGGTAGGTTCATTGGGTCTCTACTGCATAGCTTATTTCATGTCAGGCATTGATCACTTCCTCACGTTGTGCTGCACAAGTGCAGCGAACTTGACATGCAGGTGTGCTGAGAACCAGAAGGTGGGTCGCAGGTGGTGGAGCAGCTGGGCACCGGCTGGGCTGCCTAGGGAGTTTGCCTCCACCTCATTGCGCAGGAAGCGCTTGCGCTGCAGTAGCTCCTCGCGCTGCCCGTAGTTGTAGATCCCACGGGGCCAGTCGTGAGAGAGAAACACGTCCAATGGCTGCTGAATCTAGAAGGCCGAGATTAACCGGCCATGGGTTATTTTATTAAATGTATGTAATTTATTAAATTCATTTATATTCTTTAAAACAGGGGTCCCCAAACCCCCGGGCCGCGGACCGGTACCGGTCCGTGGCCCGTTAGAAACCGGGCCGCACAGCAGGAGGTGAGTGGTGAGTCCGCGCGTGGCCCGCCCATCATTATTTTATTATTTACCACTTCCGTCCGCGCCTCTTTCCCGCACTGCACACTTGTCTCAGTCAGTGTTGGTAAACCCACAAACTAACCCCTAGTAGCCAAAATGAGTAAAAAACAAACGTCGCTGGAGAGTTTCTTTGAAAAGGGGGAAAGACACAATGATGACCCAAAACCCCCCCCACCCCCCCCGGTCCGTGAAAAAAATTGTCTTCCACGAAACCGGTCCCTGGTGCCAAAAAGGTTGGGGACCGCTGCTTTAAAACATGCCTATTTACGAATCACATATTTATTACAATTATTTTTTTTACTCCAACAAAAGGTTCAATCGAGTAAATATTACAGCTGACCATATACCTGGTGCTTAAACTCACAGTGGCTCAGTTCAGATGCTTATAGCTTTCTTAGTTTTCTTGGTTGAGATAAGTTGCTAAACTACTGCAAGGAATTATAAACAAACTTCAAGCTTGCCCCTCTGCTGAAAAATGTAGACGAGAATGTGTTTTCCTCACCTGCTTCAGTTTGATAACATCACAACTTCTCACATGGTAGACACTTCTGACTGTATCATTGTTGTATGGCGGGAACTCATAATGACCTGGGTTAGGGTTAGAGTTATTCAACAATCAGCGTATGGGACTATCTAGAACAGCTCATTATTAGTATTATTTTAAACCCAATTATTGAATGTGATAACAGATTACAGCAATAATTACCTTTGCAATAGTTGTGGACATTGTAAATTCCTGAGAGTCCCCCTATCCTCAGGCTGCCATACTTAACAATTCCAGCATATCCTGGAGAAAAAAAAAACACACCACAGTAGCTTGAACTCATACCACTACACACTATAACTTATATTCTTAGTTTTTTCGGTAAAGTCACGTTGAAAAGAAACAACAAAATAATAAAATATATATAAAACAATAAAACATTCTCACGACGTTTCGACCATAACTCAAACGGTCATCTTCAGGTTTTTTTATTGTTTTACATATATTTTATTATTTTGTTGTTTCTTTTCAACGTGACTTTACCGAAAAAACTAAGAATATGAATTACTGCAGTCACGAAAGCTTTAAATCAACACTATAACTTATTCAATAACAAAGTTAAATTGCCTTCCATATAACACTGATACGCTTCCCAATATGCATACACAAATGTAAACATCTCAAGACAACACGGAAGTGGTTTCTTACCCAGGTAGTAAATGTTTGGTGCCACCCAACCACCATATGGAATTTCTTGTAAATGGTTAGAGGCCTCATGGTTACCACCAATGAAGATGGTCAACACCGGGGCCTTTTGTGCACCAGAATAGTACCTAGGGAAGAAGAGGGCACATCTCACAGTACGTGGTGAAGTAATCTAGGAGCCCCAGAAAAAGAAAAAAAAACACACGCTTATTATGGCCAGAAAATACAAAAACAAATGATGCAGATGGGTCTGCAACCTCCGGGCCCCCGTGCCATCTTCTGACAGTTACTTGTGAAAGCTGTGCATGTGACGGTACTTGGCTGGCACGGCCATGCACCGCAGGTCGGTCTCGTCACGTGCCGCTTGGAAGTCTCCACAGCAGAGCAGGAGGTCGACGTGCACGTCCTCCACGCGCTCCATGTGCTCCAGCGTGGCGAACACCTTGTCGAGCTGCCCGTGGCAGCAGCCTGCCACCGCCACCTTCATGGCTCTCTGGTGCACACAAGCACACCAACAAAAGCGAGGATAATGATACCGCAGAATTAATCCGTAATCGACGTACGAACGCAATTCGTTCCTGAGACCCGTTCGTAAGTCGGAACAAAAAATGTACTGTACTTGCCCATGCGGTGTGTTGTGAGATGTGTTAGGGTTCAACAACAAAAAAAAAGGGAGGCATTGTTATTGTAGATTTGCATGTAACGCTTATAAAATATACTATACAGTAAATAAAACATAACATAAAGTAAGAAATATAGAAAAAAGGATCAGTTTTACTTTACACAGGAAAGTTAACCATTGAATCCATAATAGAGGTTTTTGGGTTAGATCGCCTAAATATATAAATGTGTCGTTAAAACCCGCCACCACCCGACACAGCCAACTAGTAAGGGTTGTCACGTAAACAGAACGTGGCCAATTCGTCACTAGTACAGCACACTGGTGTGTTGGAGAGCCAAGCCACAACATTTACAATCTGAGTACGACGTTTCACCAGTAATTACAACTAGCTTCAGCAGGCGACTGACAGATTTGTGGAGAAGTCTTACTGCTTCGTTCTTGACATAGAGGTGTAGATCTGTTGACCACCCTACGCCTCTATATAAGGAACGAAACACTTCTCCACAAATCTGGCTGTCGCCTGATGAAGCTAGTTGTAATTACTGGCGAAACGTCGTACTCAGATTGTAAATGTTGTGGCTTGGCTCTCCAACACACCGGCGTGCTGTACTAGTGACGAATTGGCCAGGTTCTGTTTACGTGACAACCCTTACTAGTTGGCTGTGTCGGGTGGTGGCGGGTTTTAACGACACATTTATATATTTACGCGACCTAACCCAAAAACGTCTACTATGGATGATATCGGTCGCGAAAGCCTACGTGTTAAATTAACCACTGAATATTCAGACTCGTTTTTCAAGAGGGCCCCGTCTGACAAATTTGGCGAATCGAGTACCGTGCTGTACTATTTCATCCGATATATTTAGCGCCGCCGTCTCGAGCCCTGGCACATATTTCAGTCGTTTACAGATGTCAATGCGTGCAGAGTATTCGCGTCAGATGTTTTTCTTCCGATGTGCCGTGCACATCGTGTACGCGTTTAACAATTGTCTGCGGGCATGACACGTGAACCCATTAATCGGTCTGCCGCAAGGGGCTCTTGCATGAAGCATCCAGCCTGCTGCTGCTGCTGCTTGCTGCAAGACGCATTCCGTCCGCACTGCTGGGATGCCACACGGCCACTCACTGCGGCAGCGTTTGACATCACTGCGGAATGATTCTCTCCCCTTTGACCAAACCCCTAAACTCCCATCCGTTGTAAATCTCGAACGGTACCCCCCCCCCAACCCTTCTTTAACTCGACGCAAATCCCTCGGGCGTGCGAGAGCCCCCCCGCTAAGCCACGGTTAATTTCGCAACGCACGGCATTTCTGGAATAGCAATTTAGGGGACCGCTTGTTATCGTGAACACCACGAATGGAAGAAGCGCGCGTACAGCATTCATGCCGCACACACACACACACACGGGGTGTGGAGTTGTAAGTGCAATGGTGAAGCGCGCTGCGGCGCTATCAAACCCTGCCAGCCGAAGTCGAATCCCCTGGCCGACAACAGTGTTCTTACACTATTTCAATTAGGGTTCCATTCTATGATTGATCCTAGGCTTCTCTTCGCCAGTGCTCGCTGACCGAGTGATCAAAGCACGGCCCTGTCCGCCCGATGACGCTCGTCGAAAATTACCGGCGAAACGTCGTTCTCGAATTGTTATTTTGTTATTTTCTTTGAACCCATCTACGCGACTTTACCGAAAGACCCGAGAATACGCATTGTACGCGTTGTGGGTTTTGCTCTCCAACACACCGGTGCGCTGAACTAGTAACGAATTGGGCACGTTTTATTTACGTGACAACCCTTACTAATTGGCTGCGTCGGGCGGTGGCGATATTTAACGACACGTTTAACCCAAAAACCTCTTATGGCTGACGAAGTATGGTTAACCCACCCCCCCTACGCCCGACAAGGCATGGAGAGGCCATCATCCAGCAGTGGATTAACCCGAACCGTAGGGAGGAATTAACATCGGCACGCGCGTTGGCTATTGCATCGCCGAGTATAATAACCCCTCGGCCAAAGCAGCGCATTTCAGCCGGCATCGCTCAGAGCCAAAGAGCCTCCGTCGCATAACAGCGCACTGCCCCTACTTGCCAGCTTTACAGCAGCAGTGTGAGCGGTGAGACGACAAAACATCACCGCCACCACCTAGGGCGCAACTCGCGAGCTTATAGGGCACGAATGCAGATGGAGAACAGAGGATTTGCGGTTACCTCCGAGTCGGCGAGCTGAAATGCGAGAGACTCTGGGGCGAGGGGGGCCACCCCCAACCCAGCAAACGGGAATGCCGTGGGAGCCCAATCACTCAGCCACTCAGCAGCAACTCGCACAAAACCTTCCAGTTCTCCCACTCCACCGATGCACACGTGTGGCCACGACTGCAAAGCGTGACCGCGGGCAATTGTTAATATTGTTACATCAGCAGTTTAACGTTAATTGTGCAGCGCCACGTCTCGCAAATGTAGACTGATTTTCTTTGCAACTGGTTAGGCCCAATGCACTGTAAGTGGACTCTCTGCAGTAAAAAAAGGCAATTGTAAAAAAAAATGTTATTCAATTCGGCTGTGCTGTGTTATGGACTGAGAGCAAAGGTGCGGAATGTGCAGTTTCACACCAGAGGGCAGCACTAACCCAAGCGGTCATTCTCAGTGCCTCAGCAGAGAGTTGATATAGTTTTGCTATTCCTCCTTTCAAGGAGCGCAGACAACAGTGGTCTGTATGGTCCAGAGTGTGGGTTGCATGCCCATAGTCGCACTGCAGCTTGCATTTCATTTTCCAGTTATGAACATCGGCTTGTTGATGTTCTCATGCGGTTCATGGTTACATATACGTGTCTTCGAGGAATGTGGAAGCCATGAGTTGCGATGTGTGGGTCTCGAATGAGAAAGTCTGCGTTATTCCACTCTGTTCTCTAGCGTTGAACAATGCGGGCGTTAGGCTCCGTTCTCACTTGATGTGCAGCTTGGAATTTCGATGTTTTCCCTGACGTGGCAGGTCATAAGCCCAGCGGTGGCTTTTCACCATTGCTCCTGATGAATGGTGTAATAAACACGAGGTGAGCTGCTTGCTGGGCTTGTCAGTCGCTCAACCAGCAGGTGGCTGCACTCGCGTGCAAAGTGAAATGTGCTGCTCTGCTCTGGCATCACAGGCATTCGTAATTCCTATTCGCCTTGGGACGCTTAGGCGGTAATTATTACCACGAGGGGCATTACTCGCCAAGAAGTGTTGTAGCGGTGATTGTAAGGGCCACTCACCTCGCATTCAATCGCCCCGTTATTGTTGGGTATGCCGTTTTGAGTTTCATGCGTATGGTTTCAAAAGCGTGCTTTGCTTTATGGGAACGCTGGTTGACATGAATGGGGACCTCTGTTGAGAGCATATTTATTTATTATGTCGATGAGACCATATTGATTAATGTGTGTTTTCTGTTGTTTAACTCTTACCACGTTACGAGGCATGGTTGATCCACTCCTGGATAAAGGTCTCTTCAAGTCACCACGACATCCACAACTCTGCAATGCAACATCTTTATAATTCCGGACATTTTTCAATGCATATAATGACATCAATGAGTGTAAAATCAGCGTGAATTATCCCAATAGTAATTCACTACATCTACCCAAGCGGCAATGGCCATACACTGAGAATACATTAGCACACATAAGGCATTGAATTGCCCGGGCGTCCATGAGGAGGCAGCAATACTTGACATGACGCAGCATGGAAGTCCATGCCCCCTGCCACCATGCATCTAACACAGCAGATCAGAAAGCAATAGCATAATCCCATCCCTGTAATGTATCACTCTGCTGTTTCCCATCTCTGTCTCTCTATTTCCTGGGCGTCGATGCGGAAAGGCTGCTGTGCTTGAGAGGAAAGCGCTAATGGCGAGGGAGGCCCAGGACAGGATGTTGCCGTAACAGATCATGGTGTTGGTGACGCAGCTTGGCAGCCCACAGTGGCACCCACGGAGACCATACTCGGCTTTGAAGTTCACCCATCATGATTGTTGATCCCCACCGCCAGCGAGTGACAAAATTGTTTCCGACAGATCCTAGACCTTTTATAAAAAACCAACCCACCTTTGAAAAATAAAATAAATTGATTTTTGGCTGTTAGAGGACAGGTTCTTTTATTTTAAGGTCAGCCGTTCTTGGGCCGGATAAGTGAAGTTTTAAATACAGTGCAGCAATTATTTAGAACATTATTCAGCCAGGTGAAAGTACATTGAGGTGCACATCGCTTGTGTAACAGAGGCCGTGGAAGGTGGCGTTTTCAAAGAATTTCGGGGACACAAAAAGCCAATAATAGTCAAATAGAAATAGTCTGAAAAGGCAAAGAAAATGCGTATATAAATACTTACAATGCAATCAAGGGTAAAGTTTCGTGCCAATATATGAGTCAAAATATTGTTATATTTGAATCTCTGTATTATTGGAGTTTCATGCAAATATTCCAAGATGGAATGTGCATTCGTGCATCGCAGTGTAGTCTCTCTCTCATCTGAACGAGGAGAGCCTGGCAGTCCACCGCGGCCGCCCCCAGCACAATGGCCATTATTCACTCTGCAGCGCATGCCACCAGATATTGTACATCCAGCAGATGGGGACATCATCTGAAATTAATTGCTAATCAAGTTACAACATTCAAGCGCCCTTTGCTTTTTTTCCATTGCCACCTGCAAAACATCATGCAATGATTTATCTTTACACATGCCTTTTTGGACTTTGTTGAATATTCCATCACATTTAGAAGGTACACCATATAATATACTGAATTTATTCTGCAGGCATGCATCTGTCTTTGTATAATTATAAATATATGGGTGAAGTTGGCAAGCAGTGATTAGCACACTGTGCTATGAAGCTGCACACCCAAGTTTGGTTACAAAACAGTGCATGCGTTAATAATGAATGAACACACTGTCCATTTAATATTGACTAATTATTGCACAAAAATACGTGTAGTTTGTTGAGCTAATGCTTCACACATGACATACAGAAAGTGAAATGGCAAAACTCATTAATGACCGTTCTTTCAGAGTGTGTAAAAACTACGCAATTAGGCACTTTCAAGGAGTGTTCGTTGTCAACGGAGCGATCACTACGTAAAATGTGCAGCCCTGTAATTGCTTGCTCACACCACTGCAGGTGGAAGGGCCTACACGAGACGGCACACTAGAAAGCCCCTCTCGACCATATTTAGCTTCCCCTTCCATACTGGCCAGACATCTTGGATAAGGTCAAATTACCCACGCACGCAACCTGCCAATCGACTGTGGTGTACACATTTATACTGTTGTCTTGGTATAGGCAGGGGAGATTTAAGAAACATAACCATTTTATTCATACTTCCCGTGTCGGTGACCAGTGCTGGAATGAAAACCCCACATTTATCATTAGCATGCCTCACTCGGCACAGCTGCACAACATGCGGTGGTGCTAGTTATGGAGGTGTCGATGAGTGGGGACACCTGGAGATTTGCGCGTGTTTTTCCTCCGTGAAATCAGCTTTGTCGTAAACGAGCAGCAAATGACGCCCCAGGCACAATGGGCGAAAAAACGAGTCATCGCGAGAGGGGCAAAACCAGTCGCTTCTACTCGCAATGATGAAAGTAATTCCAAAAATAGTTTCTTTTAAATTATTATTATGCAGCAGCGGTTTTTTTTTTACCAATTTTAAATCACCTATGCTGACTTCATCTACATACAGTAATTTCAATCATATATTGTTGTGAATTCCAGTTATGTCCTACCCAAAGATATATTCATTTGTTTAGCGAACTTGTTGTACATGATGCGTGCGTTGTTAAATGTGTGTAGAGGAGTATTGTGAGGAACCAATGAGGGGGCGAGCAGAAGGAAGTGCAAGCGGGTTGAGAGTTATGAGGGGCCAAAGATGACGTAACGTCATGGTTTACTTAAGGAGCTTTCGGAAAGCACTTTCAGGAAAGTGGGCGGGGCTGAGCTGAGGGGAGGAGCCGTCCAAAGGGTTCTTAAGGGGGACCCCGTGACGTAGGCGTGGTCGTCGTTGGGGGCCAGGGTAAGGACCGGCTAGAGTAAGGGTCTCTCTCCTCGTCCTGGGGCGGTGTTGGCTGATCCCCTGCCCCGGGCAGACGAGTGGGAGAGCCAAGGGGATAGCCGGGGTAGGACCCAAATAGTTATTCAGTGTCCGTGTGAAGGACCGAGATAGAGTGCACCTACACTGGTGTGAGTGTAGGATGCCGAGTGAGAGTGTGCGTTAATTAAACGTATCCCTCTTCTCCGCATGGTTGTACTGCACAACATGTGGTGTCTGAAGTGGTCTACAACCTTCGCCATCGTCATGTCGAAGTCGGCTGCGAAGCGCAAGAACCTACCCGTAGTGCAGTCGGATGACGAGGATAACTTAGAAGTGGTCCCCACGATGTCCCCGGAGTCCGGGGCCCCGGAGATGCGCCCCGCGGAGCTGCAGCAGCCAGTGCAGGAGGAGGAGGCTGCTGGTCCCGACCGGCCGCCATCGTCGGAGAACTGGCGGACCGTCACCAGCCAACTCGGCCAGCTGCTGGGGTCCGCTGCGGGCCTGGTCACACGGATGTCCACGGCGGGGGTCCAACCGCACGTAGCCGTAGCCGAGTCGGAGCGGCCGCTTCCCACCATTTCTTCTAACGCGACGCAGAAGTCGGGCGCCATTTTTTGTCCCGACGCGACGCAGCAAACGGGCGCCATCTTCTCTCCAAATGTGAAGCAGAAATCGGCTGCCATTATTTCTGCCGTCCAGCCGCCGACGATCGCAAGATTTGGAGCGCTCGCGCCGGAATACAGCACGAATATTTGGTAATTTCGCCGGCTACCTCCAGTTCCCATTCACCGCGGCTGGGGGAGATTGGACAGCTTTTCAACGCTATTTTAAGGCGGCTTATGCTTCGGTTGGATGGCCAAAGGAAGAGGCGCTCAAGGCCCTACCGACAGCATTGGACGATGACTCCTTGGCCGCTTTCAACTCCATCCCAGCTGCGGATTGGGCGACGCTTCCTCAGGCGTGCGCTCAGATGGCCGCGATCTTTGATCCGCCATCTAGCGCACGCCGGAGAATCTTGTTGCAACGGCAGGGAGAGGCCGAGACGCCTCTCGCCTTTTGCAGCATGTTGTTAGCGCTCGGGCAGTCGGCCTATCCCAACATGGACGTAGCGGCGCTCGGCTCCCTGGCGCTGGAGCGACTTCTTTCACTGGCGCGGGAGCTGGGCGTCGTCCTCTCCATCGCAGAGGAGGCCGACCTGTCCTCTCTCAAGGTGGCTCAGGGCATTCAGGCCCACAACCAGGTCACTGGCGCAGGCCGAGGTGGGGCTGCAGCAACAACTTCGGAGCCTTCGGCAGGACCCCGTTGTCCTCCACCTCCACATCGTCCTCTTCCGCAAGGCCACAGGCAAGTCGCAACGCATCATCCACTCGGCCGCTCCCCACTCCTCACCCATCTAGTGGGGATCAGGTACCCGATTACCTGGCCACCACTAACCTTGTTAAAACTCACGATGGGAGTTCGCGGTCGGTCGCCGGGTGGCCAAAGGGCATACACCAAGGGGATGCACTCGCACATCGGGTTGTAGCAGCCGTG